ATCGTACCCGTACACGTTCTTTTTTTTATCTTAAGTATGTTCTCTCTCTATACATGGCTGTTTCTCTTCTTTTATATTGTCTCCTTACTATCTCGTTGTATTCTCTTCATCTCAAGACATCACTTCTTCCTCTGCCACATTACACACCTTCCATCTTAGGCACATTTCCAATTTTCTTCTTCTTCTTTAGCATTTTACCTCAAATCCCGTACGTGTTATATATTATATATTACAAACCTCATTTTCAAGAGAGATTTTTTCTCAAATATTTATCTCTATGGAGTCAAAAAAGTTTTCCAGATAGTAAATTATTTTTGTTCATCTTGATGGAAAGAACTACAGTTTGTGGTCTCTTCATATGCGATGTTTTTATAAATTGTTCATTTTGATGGAAAGAACTACAGTTTGTGGTCTCTTCATATGCGATGTTTTCTTATAAAAAGAAAATTATGGGGCTATATTGATGGTTTTGTTCTCCATCATAAGGATCTAAAGCATTGTGAGATTGTTTACAAAATATCTATTCTCAAGCAAACACTGCCCGTCTGTATACCCATGAACAAGAGAACATGAAGACACAATAAGGAGACTCATCGGTTGAGGATTATTTTAATAATCTCTCATGCATATGGCATGAGATGGACTCGATAGAGACAAAGTCACCCACGAAAGCTGTTACTAAAGCACGAAATTGTTCTCATTTATTTTACTTCTTTATGAGGTTGCAATCAAAGTTTGAAACCATGAGAGCATCAATTCTTCATCGTATTCCCACTCCATCATTGGATGATTGCCTCTCAGATCTCCTTGTTAAAGAAACTTGCTTAGGCTCTCTTGGGGTTTGCAAATCCACCTCAGAAGATGTCACTGATGTGCTATTAGTCATTTCCAAATGCTCTAACAAGGATGCCAACTATGTCTAATAAAAATGTAAAAAATGCAAAACATATGGCTGATCGGTGTAAAACTCAATTTTTTTGCAATTACTGCAAGAAACTAGGGATTTAATGAATGATTATCGAAAACACCCTCAGGTGAGAAGCCTTCTGTACCTAGTCAAACTCTATGGGTTGCAGTCGCCTCTATTCTTAGTCCCACTAGCATGGAAGATGCCAGTTCCATTCACTCCCATTTCTACCTCCACATCTGTTACCCTTGCATTCATGCTAGATCTTCACTCCATTGACTCAACTACACTTTAGCAACTTGCTCAGGTTTTAGCTGCCATGAGTTTCTCAGGTTACTCAATTTTTTTATGAACACTTGGATCATGGACTCAGAAGCATCAAATCATTTGACATAACAACTTTCTCAATTATTCGTTGTAAAACTCCATATTTTACTACCAATGGGTCACTACTTCATGTTATCCACTTTGGTAATACTAGTGTCCCTGGTCCATCTAGTAATTTTTTACCATTAGAAGATGTCCATCATATTCTCAACCTTCTACAAATTAATATTTGTTGGCCAGTTAGTTGATAATCAATGGCTTGTTTTTTTTTCTAATAAAGGGTGTGTGGTGCAAGATCTAACTAGGAAAGTAATTGGGTGAGGCACTAAGCAAGGTTGGTTTTTCACAGATCATTGCTTTGTAGTTCAGTATGATGTTTGAGCCGCTGCTCCTGTTCCTTCCATTGGTGGATTTTCTTATTATGTAAAATTTACAGACGATTTTTCTACCTATACTTGGGTTTATTTTCTCAAACGTAAGTCAAATGTGCTTAATGTTTTTAAAGACTTCCATAATATGATAAAAATCAATTTGAGAAAAATATTGATGTTTCTAGGGCGGGGGGAGAGTATCTATCCAATGAATTTAAGTCATATCTTCATACAAATGGTATTATCCATCAACGTTCGTGCCCTTATACCCCTAAGCAGAATACTGTTGCTGAAAGAAAACATTGTCATATTCTTGAAACTGCTCGTTTTCTTATTATAAGCTCTCATTCTCCAAAGAATATTTGAGCTGAAGCGATATCTACTGCTGTCTACCTTGTTAATCTTCTTCTTATACCGGTTTTGCACAATGTCTTACCATTTCAAACGATTTTTAAAAACCCCCCCATAATTACTCACATTTGCGTGTGTTTAGGTGCATTGGCTTCGTACTTCTATCATCTCCTACACGTGATAAACTCTCACCGACGTCTGTCAAATGCATGTTGGTAGGCTATCCAACAAACCAAAAGAGATATCATTGTTTTGATCCTTCTAATAATCGCATTAGAGGATTCTGACATGTTACCTTTTTCGAACATGTACCCTTCCATCAACACTTCTCATATCTTAATTCACCCACACATGGACCTGAGTTTTTCTTTCTTCATGGTTTCGATAATCCTCGTTTTCAACATAATAGTTCGCATCATAGTGTAAATCAAAGATTACCACTTTTTATAACTAACTCTGATGAGCTGTCTCTATCAATGCACGATTAACATTGCATCTAATATAGTCTTTCATGAGCCAACAAAGTATATTAATATGGATTGTCATTATGTTCATGATCGCTATCTTGATGATACATTATCTCTCATTTATGTTTCTTCGACTATGCAAAAGGATGATATTTTCACCAAATCAGTTAAACAGAAATCATATGATTTTCTAGTTGATAAGCTCATGCTTTACTCATGTCCGCATCAACTTACAGGGGATAATAGTGTGTGTATAATAATCAAATGTCATTGTATGTTTATATAGGCATAGTTTGGTCTAAACCAAATATATATGTACTGTGTAT